GGAGAAGGCCAAATTTTAACTGACTCTCGGAGGAGATTTTCAACCTACTATCCTGTTTTTTCAGAGATTGTCGTGGTGTTTTCACTTTTGGGAAGACTGCCTTTTTACTTCTATCAGCACCAGAGACCGTCACAGGGCACTTTTTTTTGCCCTGTCCTATCCTGTTGCCCTGTCACATCTTGCCCTGTCCTGCCCTGACAATAGCACATATAATTTTCTTTTGCCCTGACCTGCCATCAGGGCAGGACCGGGCAGGGCAGGGCGCCCTGAGGGCATATGAATTGAACCCGAATACGGGATGGGTTGATAATTTAATGAAAAATTTTGTGTGTTTTTACGCTTAGTACAGATATCTTTTTCCGATAACTTCAAAAGAATATTATCCAGACAAAAAAACGATTATAAATCCGTTTAAATTCGAGGAAAATGATACTATTTTTATCCGATTCTAATCTGATTATTAGACTATGTCTTGATTTTTTCTAATTTTCAAGATTATTTCCAAATCTTTCTAATCATTTAAAATCCATTTAAAAATTTTAAGTATTTAGAATTGGCAAATGTTTTTAATTGATTAAAAAAAACTAAAAAATTCGTATCAATGGAAGAAATTCAGAATTATTGGCTAAAAATCACATTGTAATTGAGTAGAAATAACGGGTGAGGCAGAAATAATAGTCGCGTTTTGTATATCACTTTTGAGTCACTTAATACATGGCATTAAGACCAGAAATTATACCAAAAGATGCAGCATGAAAAGCTCTACAATTTACATAATAGGCATATTCCATGGGGTTTCGACCACGAAAACACATGACTCCTTCGAATCGACTGAAAGTTATTCTGTTTTGTAGAGCTCAATCAGTTATATTTACTGTAAAAAAATCAGCTTAGAATACCATTCTATTAGGGAGATATGAGGTCCACAAGTTTAGCTAGAAATTGTCATAAATGCTAAAAAGCCAGAAAAGGAGGAGTACTATTAAGGCATGTTTTCGGACCAAAAAACGAGGCAAGGAGACATACATATTCGGAATCAGCATAAAATTTTGAGTACTTTCTGTGTTTCATAATGATAAAAATCGAAAAAAAAATTTTTTGGTCCCTGACCCCCTGATGGGGTCTCTGGAGACCAATTGAAAAAATTTGTTTTCGAAATTTAATACAAAAACTATCTAATCTTATGCATTACGATGTGCTGATTAAGAATATGTCATTTGTATTTCACGAGTACACTTTCTTGTCGAACTA